TTTTATGCATTGCATTCTGAAGGCACCGCATGAGGTAGTGGCACCATTTACAGTAGCAGCTGGTGTGGGGGATACCCTTAGCATCCCAGCCAGTCCAAAATGAATAATGAATACTCACCAACTGATTTTTATTTGGTGTTTGGCAATCTGACCCTGGCTGAGATGCTAAGGATAACACAGCTGCTAGATAAACGTTAGTTTCTCACCAATTAGCCAGTAATTTTTTTAAACGAATTCTAACTATATATGCCGGCTGCAGTTTAGTTACAGTGGTGTGAAAAAGTGTTGGCCCCCTTCCTGATTTCTTATTTTTTTGCATGTTTGTCACACTTGAATGTTTCAGATCATCAAACAAATTTAAATATTAGTCAAAGATAACACAAGTAAACACAACATGCAGTTTTTGAATGAAGGTTTTTATTATTAAGGGAAAACAAAATCCAAAACTACATGGCCCTGTGTGAAGAAGTGTTTGCCCCCCTGTTAAAACTGTGGTTTATCACACCTGAGTTCAATTTCTCTAGCCACACCCAGGCCTGATTACTGCCACACCTGTTTGCAATCAAGAAATCTCTTAAATAGGACCTGCCTGACAAAGTGAAGTAGACCAAAAGATCCTCAAAAGCTAGACATCATGCCGAGATCCAAAGAAATTCAGAAACAAATGAGAAAGAAAGTAATTGAGATCTGTCAGTCTGGAAAAGGTTATAAAGCCATTTCTAAAGCTTTGGGACTCCAGCGAACCACAGTGAGAGCCATTATTCACAAATGGCAAAAACATGGAACAGTGGAGAACCTTCCCAGGAGTGGCCGGCCGACCAAAATTACCCCAAGAGCACAGCGACGACTCATCCAAGAGGTCACAAAAGACCCCACAATCAGGAAGGGGGCCAACACTTTTTCACACCACTGTATATGAATATACAGTTTAACGTGCTGCATGTTTCCATTTCTGCAGTTGCTATGAGTTTAGGTCACTTATAGAATCCATTTGAAAACGCAACTTGCTGCAACCATCTAATTTTTAATGACACTCATTTATAAATGTTGTCAGCAAAAGAGAAGCTTTAAGGTCTCCCTGCAGTTTTCCACCAACATAAAAATAAATTAAGCCATAAACAATATTATTGTAATTTTACTGTTGTTGTTCGGTTAATGTTTTCCTTCCTTTTAGCTCTTAGCTGATCACAGGCCTGAAAATGAAATTCTTGCAAAGAAACCAAGTAGTTTGAGGCTTAATATTGTACTATTATTTCTTAGTGGAAAAAAAGGAACTGCTTTACTACCTACTTTTTTTCTTATGTTATATGGTGACTATGCAGAAATATATATTATTTTACCATTTCAGGCATGACTTGGACATAGCAAGATCACTTTAATTGATATAAATTAATAATTCATGATATTTGTTTAAAAAAAGTACACTCACAAGTATTCAAGGTGTAAGAATAATGTTATTACTTGGTTCCGCAACATTTTTTTAGAATTTAATGAATTTAACCATTAAATTTAACATTTTATTGAAAATGGTAGAACAGTTTTTAAAAACATAAAACCAAAATAAACAAGAATTTTACATTTTAAAATAGTTTTTTATTCACCTTTTCTTATTGTATATACTTATTTGTCATTGACCGTTTTACGAGCTCATTTCATTTGTTACACACAGGACAATCATTAAATGGAGGCTAAAAGATTTTTTTTTTTTTATAAAAACTGAAAATCTTAGTAGAAATAGTGACCAGTAACAGCAGTTAAAACATAAACCATGTACATTTTAACCTAAAATCTTGATGTGAAAAAAAAATTCATGGATGTGATATGCCAACTATCTCTGTATATAAGCTGATACATGATATGAATGGAGGTGCAGCACAGGTTCAGCATGACATGGTGGCAGATCAGCGTAATTATGGGTGAAATTATGATGCAGCGTTGCGATCCATGTGACTGAAGGAAGGATGCTGCTCTGATGCAGAGGAGAGGGAGGTTCACACCACATGCCTGTGCTGCGTCAGTTTGCCAGGGGGCCATAATTGGTGGACTCTTTCTGTGTATGATTAGTGTGTACAACCCCCCACACTTAGAAGCATCTGGTTTTTATCTCCACGCCCCTGTATGCAGGCAGAGAAGGGTTACCGAGAGGCACGCAGGCTACCGTTCCCGCATGTCGCAGTGAGCTTGTGCTGCAACTGCTCTCCTCCCCTCTCCCTCAACTTACTTTTGCTCTCCATTTCCATGTGTACTCAGATATTCAGTTGTGGATGTCAGTCACCTGTCTTAGCCCAATTTAACACCCCATTGCGTCACATTACCTTCTTTTCAGAACTTTGTATGCTTGCCTGCTTTCAAATGGTGACTAATGCATTTATATCTTAACCCACTTTTTTCTATTAAGTTATATTTTCAGCTTGTAGAAAAGGCAGTCACAATACTTTGTAATAACATTTATTTTAAAAAAACTTGTCAATTAATGAAGATATAAATACATTTTTAAATAAAAGCAAGATAGAAACCATTCATGTTGTCATCAAAGCATAGCTACAGCTGGTTGAAGGGGACCAAATCCGTTGAAGAGGTGATTTGGTTCCATTTTACCAGCTTTAGCAAAGCATTGTGGTTTGCTGTTAATGAGACTGATAAAAAAGAGCTTATGAAACATGACATGAAATGTTGCCCGGGCTCATTTCAGATTTCAGATTCTCTCTAACTATCAAAAAATGTTTCAGTGCTCTCCAAAGGTTTTCTATCTCTGTGTTAAAAAAGAGAAATGTCCTCAGTGAAAAAGATAATAATCCATCGTGGTGCACTCGAGTCAAGTGTCCGCAAGTCTTGAAGCAATTACAGCAGCTGATGGATTAAGCCTGCTGAGGGCAGAGTGTCACTTGGGCGATGTCAGCATGTGCTGCTGTTTGTAGTTGTCACTTTCTCAGTTTTGAAAAGATTAAGTCATACTCGGCTAAATTATAGGGTTAATTTGCCCACTTAATCCAATAAGGGAGTGTGGTGGGAGCTCCTCCGAGACTGCTCATGTGGTAATGTTGAAATGACTAATAAAGATATTTGTACTACATGTCAGTCACAGTCCGAGGCAGAAGCAACTCCACAAAACAATTCAGTGACGCACAGTGAGCACGTGTTGTTTTGTAAGACGCAGTCGACTGTCCATCAGCTAAGATGGACCCAAAAAGCCTCTTTAGCTCCTTAGCAGGTGGCCAGCTGAGAGTGTAAGCAAGGGGTCATTGCTGCTCAATATGGCGCTCATTAAAGTGGGGTCAGTAAAGTGCTATTTACACCACAGATCCCCCTCCCTGTGCTACACAGACACTCGCTTGCAGCATTCTGGACAAAGTTCGGCCCCCAAATACACTGGCCATAAGAGGGCAAAAGCCAGGGACAGCAGCTGAACATTTGATAATGTCAGCATCTGCTGTGGGTGTCACTCAGTCTGAGGGCGAGAAAGAGGGAACACAGCCACACGACTGACAGGAGCGATCCCTACAGCAAGCGGTGCACAAAAATGGAAAGAGCACAGCCCTTCAGAGGACAGACGGGAGTGTCTGACATTCAGAAAAATGGGCCACAAGCTCTCCCAGGCTCCAGTCATGACCAAAAACCCTTACTGTATCTTTGCACACAATGCGTACTTTACATTTTTCTTGATCGGTAGCACGAGTGAATGAGGATTGTAGTGATGCTCTGACCTTAGTCATCACCATAAATCAAATATTACCTCTAGATATATGACATGGTGCTTCGGTGTAGGTAAGCATTCAAACCCCTAAAAGTATAACGGTCCTCTATTACCTTATCCCCTCACACGACCGTTTTCATCACCTGTTGATCAGCTTAAAAGTTAAGCATTGTATAATACATTTGTTCTACACATACATTCATTCTACTGTTTTCACAATGATTCTTTCTGCACACCAGTAGACCAAAAATGAAAAAGAGGTCATCTTCTGAAGGCTTCCATTTACCTTTTGTAGAGGACAATTGGAATCAGCTGACAGGCAGACTGTCTCTCTGATCCTGCATTGTCACTTTTCCATACTCTAATCTGACTACTCTGTGGTCCAGCAAAGCATTTGGCAAGCCTAGCAAACATGAACAATGGGGGCAGAAACGGGTGGCAGTGTGAAACAGACAACGGTACTATCCCACAATGTGAGAGAAGCTTCCTTTTTAATAGCCAAGCTCTGCTCACCTTTATGGAACTGTTACCTCAGCAGCTTCCCTGTAACAAGATCTAACTTTTAAGGGACAAAAAAAGTGAAATTGTCCTAAACTCACCCTCTCTAGGCAAGTTTAAAAAGATTAAGGTATTAATGGTTCTGGTGCATGCCGCTCCTGCAGAAACAGGATCTTAGTTGCAGCTGGCCACAATTCAAAGCTTAGAATGCAGCAAACTCTCCAATAATGAGAGGAGCTCCTGTTCCTATGGTGATGCCTCGGGCCGTTATTGTATCTTTTAGGTAGCAGTGACTGAACTCTTTCTGTCACCAAGAAAGTGGGCACTACAACCCGTTATTTTAATGTTAGTCTACCTGCAGAAATAAACTATAGCATGACAATCTATCAGAATGAACTATCTAACATGGAAACTGCTGAATTAGAGAGAGGCGGTGTGGACTGCTGGTGAAGTCGCCGAAAGAGTAGCAACTTCTCTCAGAATCCACTGCTGCAGTAAGTTTCTGCACCCCAGTTACAAAATCCATCACACTGTTTCCATGTATCCATATTCAGTGATGCAGAGAAAATGATGGTACATTTGATAAACTGAAGATCAGCACCTGACCAAGAATACATACTTCTTTACATTCCATAGCTGTCATATGTTCATATGGGCACATAAAGAAGTATGTACACCAAGTAGGCAGCACCAGACACAGCTGAGTTTCCTTACCTTCTCTGATATGATGTTTGGTTAACATGGCCCTTATTTAAACCAAACGCATTTAATCACGTCGGTAGATCAGTTTTTTTTGTTGTTGTTGTTGTTGTTTTTTTACCATCCTGCAGAATGCAGTGGATTATACATAAGGTGACTTTCACAGATTCTTTAGGTCACGCTTTTTTCTTTTGCCTTATCCCAACAGTGTTCCCTGTGTGCGTTACACTTATTGGGGTTCACTCAGTTTTATATCTTCTGTTGACCTTGACTGTCCTCGAGAGAATGTGGGGTATCCGTCGGGAATCTGGAAATCTAGAACAGTGCCATACTGTTTTTTTTTTTTGGTAAAAATAAAGTCTCTTTCTGAAATCTGTAAAAATGTTGTTGAAAAATAGAGAAAGTTGTTCCTGTGTTGTCCTTGTTGCCTGGATTTCTTGTTGTCCATGAAAGTTCAAAGGACTCCTTAGGGGGAAAAAAAGACTCATTTCTAATGTAACGGTGTCCTGAACATGGTATGCATCTCCTTTCCACCCATTTTCCATCTGCTTGTCCGTTATTTAACTGCATTCTCAGTTGTATGTCAGACTGGTTGCTGAGGTCCAAAAATGAGGTTGATCCAAGTGGAACAGGAAGCTATTGTGAGCAGGATTTGGGCTTTAGCCACACAGACCAGGCCAGAGGTCACATGCAAGAGCTAATGCCCACTCAGCAATAGTGATTTGTAACGAGTGTGCTGATTCTCCTCTCCCATTTCTTTTTTTTTTTGTACCCCTTCTTTTTTCCTCCAAACCCCCCATATTCCCTTTTTTCCCCCAGAGTTGACCTTGGTGTGTTTATTCTAGAAGCTTCTCTAGAACTTGAATGCTGTCTGCTAGAGATCAATAACTGTTTGCATGGCAGCATGAAATGTTCAGTAGCTCTCTAATGAATCTTTGCTCCAGCTCCACACATTCCACAAGTCAACACCGCCCTGTCTTATCCCCCTCCTCTCAGGAGCCTATCCAATACCAGGCCAAAAGGAGAGGTGCAGGGGTGGAAACATAACAGAAGGACACTTAGACAGGCTATTCTGGGCAGGGGTGGAAATCCTGGATGAGTTTGTGGTGCTTGATGGGTTAGATATGATGGCGAGGTATGGCTGGACTCTTGTGGCGCTACAGTGTTAGTAAAGATTTAGGGATGAGTGTGTTGAGAGGGGGAGATGGCACTGCAGCACTACAGCCCTGCCCCTGCCTAGTGATTGGAAAGCATGCAGAGAGACAGAGAGAAACTGGGTTACTACCCTGGGTGTTGTGGGTTCACTCACTGACACACATATCCAGCAGCCACCGAACCGCCCTCCCTGGAGAATTAATATGCCAGCACATCTGTTTTTACATCAATCCGATTCACCCCCCACCTGGCCTGAAACTTGCGTTCCACTGTGACACCAATGTCCCTTCATGGCTAGCGTACACCTGTCCCCCCCGCTGTCTTGAAACACCAAACATGGCTCCAGTAATTACGGCTGGCCACTGGAAAAATTGAGTGCTGGCAAAGTGTGTAACCATCCCGATAGAGTTGTATTCCGTCTGAAAGTGCCTCAGAGTGGAAAGATCCAAGATAAAAGCTGCACGTTTCAGGGACACTGAGTTTCTGAGTCTGTCTTTCAGATGTCTACGGTGCTGCAGCCAAGAGGAGGTAATGAACCAGAGAGTGCTGTGCTGCAATAGCCTGCTGCCTGACCAACACTGGAAAAGCAAGAGACACGGAGAGAGTGAGGTAGGGCACAAGAGCGAGCGAGCGAGTGAGATGGAAACAGTATTCTAGCGAGCAAGCAAGCAAATCCATACAGATGAAAGCAACTTTCTCCCGTTCCACCTACACCTGTCTGTTCGATTGTTTCACACATCCCTGCTGTTTTCCTTGCGGGGGGAATCACTTACATTATTTCACAAGGTGTTCCCAGAGAAGTAGTTTTTCTCATCATGCTGCTGCAGAGCTGTAAATTCCAGTCCCTCCAAGCGACCACACCGCACACCGCGGCTGACCGGCCACGCACTTAACCCCCAGTGCATCCGGAATGGAGAAGAAAAAAGCAGAGACGTCAGTGCGGACCAGCCGGCATGAGGGGCAAACTCCCGTCCGGAGGGAGGAAGGCACAGGGAAGCGTATATTACCTGTCAGCTCACTTTCCTCCACTCTCTGCTCCTCCCTCTTTCTTCTCTCCTGTGTGTGAAGAGCCATAATGACCTCCGGAGTTCTCCAGCTGCTGCAGCCATCGCATGCCCGACTCGCTGATTCAGCTTCTCTGACGAAGAGGGGGGTGTGGGTGGGGGGATAGTGAACGAGTGTTGTGGAGAAGGAACAAGAGTGGTAAAGCGGGAGGGGTGGAGCCGGATGAAGAAAGCATACTCACAGCTTACATTTAGGCAGGGATAGGCATCATGCTGACACGAGGAGCTGTCGCTGCTGCTCTAAAAACAGGCAGAAAAAACTGCAGCACTTTCACCCCCTCCTCCCTCCCATCTCTAGCATGTGCCTTCTCAGTGAATTCTGTGAAGATGTGCATGACTGCTCGAGATCTCTCTAGCGCTTTAGTGCTTGGCTAGTTTATTTCTGATTGGCATCATTTGAAAACCACCGTTTTATCCCTCAAGCCGCTGCCTTCTGTAATGCCATTTTTGTGCTTCATAAGCAAATTTATAAATAGCCATTTTAATTTGAACATCAACAGCCTGTCAAGTATGCAGATTGTTGCTTATCTGAAGCTTGCAGATAACTTATTGTTGTCAACAGTTTTACCTTTTCTTGGTAAACCCTAAGGTGACTGGAGGTGACTTATCATTTATCGCCCCATCTGATTTCAGAGACCCGTCATTGGTGTTCTTGAAAGTGAACGAAAAGCCACTAGCCACAAAAGGAGCCAGCTGTTGCTCCTCAGAAAGCTAAATCATTAGCACTTTTAGCAGGGGAAGCATTTTAGAACCAGCTCCTCTTTGGTATCTCACTCACCTCCCCTGTGACCATATTTAGTCAACCAGTGCAAAAAATAACCCCCCTCCTTGCACCAAGGCAGCTGTCCCCCTACAAGCTCTGGGAAGTCTCCCATCCAGCGTTCCACCTATCGATTGTGTGTCCAGCAAGGCAAGTAGCTTGTGTTAGCGCAGCACCAACTTGCCGGCCTGCTATTCGCTGTGTTATTTTTAGTAGCGCCAAATAAAGTGGTCTCTCATGATTCCACTTTTATTTCCCTCACTCGTTTCCCCTCCCCTGCTTTTCTAACACCCAACCTCTCCACCCCCTACTCCAACTCTCCATCTAAACAGCCCCCATCCTGCTCTCAGCTCTCTTTTAAATAGTGCCGGAACATGCTGCATATGGTAGATCTTGCCTCTCCTTGTCACTATACTTAGTAACATACGCAGTTACGTGTGAGAGAAGAGGGGGAGCGAATAGTGCTTGAAGGTTTATGAAAAGTCTTATAGAGTACTAGAATGCAATTTGGATCAAACCTGTTACGGTATTTCAAAGGACACTAGCTTAGCTATTTGTCTGAAGCTGTCGAACTCGTATTGAGCATATGATTTATCTTGGTTCTGGGACACGCCAGGATTTCCCCAGGGGTTCAAGTTTTGTTCTTCCCTCTTGAGCTTTTCATTAATTTTCAAGAGCCGCGTTCAGGCTTCCTGAGGCACAACCACAGAAATGTTTAATTAGGAGGTCCCGTCATTCAGTGTGGAGAGCTGGTTTTAGCCAGCAATGTCCTCTGTCATCTCACTGCTTTGTCCTCCACTGCTGCGTCTCTCTACCTGCAGTAACAATGCTACCTCTGCAGTCCGCCCACCACCACACGGAGATAATTACAGCGCTCAAGGCACTATCTAATCTCTCAAAGTAATGTTTTCACATCGTTTAGTGTAATGTCTCTGTTAAATAATGTAAATCTCTAGTTGGTAGTTGTCCTGAGGCTTCTCCTCTCCCACCTTTTATAGCTCGCGGCAGTGTTGGGCAAACCTTTGAGGATTATAAAAATAGGTTTCTAACTTGCATTAGATTACTAAAAAGACATCGCTGGAAAAGATGTAAAATCCTTAAGATTGTGTAATGCTTGCAAGAATCTTTTATTATTGTGAAGTACAGTTCAATTAATGTGTCCACAGTCTAACGTATTGGCATTCAAATGCTCTCTGTATTTATGGGCATTATGAAAATTGACTATTTGCCAGGTGTAATGCACTTTGAGTAATGCATCAGCTTGAGGCCCAACCCTTAGCCAAACAGCACCTTAAAAAAGACACATGGGGCTGTAAAAACTAGCAGTCAGTGAACCACTCATTCAAGAAAATTGAAAAACATCACCCCAACACCTGAGACCTTACAAATTAATCTTCAGAGAAAGCCATCCCTCTTCAAAATGAAAAAAATGGGTGTTTTTGCTTCAAATGAGAGTGAGACTTTGACAAGCTTTGCAGTGACAGATATTATTTTGATGCACGTGATGTGAATGGAGGCTCTCATCAGGATGAATAGCTGGGCTTAACGTCTCCATCAGTGAGGGGATCTATTGGTCCGGTCAGCCCTTTTTTTTCATGTCAGTAGTCTCTTGAGTTAAATTCCACTCGCTCTACTATAGAGAAAGTGTTCCGTGCATATACCATACAAATGCACAGTCTAATTTCCTCCTTTAGGTCATAAATTGTGAATGTTTAGTTGCGCCGATTATTGATCAGAGAAAGCAGGGCCAATAATAAATGACTTAATTGTATTTTACTTCTCTTCTGCAGTTTAAAACAAGTTGGAAAAAAGCTATTGAAGCTGTGTCCGTCACAAAGGGCCCTGGTTCAACCTCCTGGATTAATGTTTAAGTTGCAAAAATGTACATTTTTTAATGATTGAACAAATCTCACATGAACTTTTAACTAATTTTTTTTTATATAAAGCCATACTGTAATGTGTAACATTTTGCTACAGTTCACTGCAAATGTTGCACAGCTAAGATTTCCAGACACGATCTGAGAACTTTGACTCAGCTTCACTCTGACAGTTGGTGCACCACCCGTGGGTAATTCTCTGTAGTTTTGAAAGTTGTCCCGGAAGTGCTGAGTTCAGGTACCCCTGTAACAGGAGATCTCATCAATCACACCAGCACCTGACTGACAGAATGGTAATACGTATTGAGTTAAGCAGGGGTTTTAATTACTGTGGGCCTTGGGGTCTGCGCTAAAAGACAAATTACTTTTTTAATGTTATTTGTCTGATTAGTTTTGGCACAGCTTTTAAGTCTAGATGGGATTGATTACATACAACAGACCTGTCTAGAAAGCGAGATTTGATTTCTTAATTGGCGTTGTACAGCAACTTTAAGGTAGGCGGATGAATCAAGACATTTGGTTTTGTTCTTTCAGGATGAAAAACACCCTGAACACACCCTCCATATTCAGTGTACTTGATTATAACACTAGATCCTCCACCCTGTTTTTTTCTTGGTCTATTTCTCTCTCCCCTGATCCTCAGCCCTTTAAGCATTCCATCATGGAGCGGGTAAAGCTGCTGAGCGGCAGACAGCATAAAAGTGATTTATGAAGGGCCGAACTGAGTGCTGTCGGGGGAAGCCTGTGGCAGGCAGTCTCTCAGTTCTTGGCCATTGTTCCACTCAGCCCCACTGCGGCTGTACCACTGCTCTCCTCTGATCTCTCACCTCAGCTCCAAACCCCCCTACACACGTACTGTAATACCCAACAGTAGAGACACCCAACAATATGAGCACTATTGGATCCAGCTCACTGGTTTGGAAGCCATTTTTATTTAAAATTGCGGGCATAGGTGTAAATATTTTAATTGGGGATTCTAATTGATGAGTACTTGGAATACCTGAGAACATTACACAACAGTCCCATACCAGTGTGTGTTTTTTTTATTTCTTATCAGAAAGGTAAGATTTTTAGGGTAAAATTAACAAACATCAATTACTGAACAAGTAAAAAAAAAAAAAATCTGTCTGAGCCAATAGCATCAATGGCACTACTCTGAAAGTATGGCTGCGCTTCATCCAACCGAAGTTCGAATCTCGTTCATGGTCCTTGTTGATCGTGTCTCCCTTTTTCTCTCCTACTTTGTTTCCTTTCCACTCTCTCGTTGTCATATCCAATAAAGTCCAAAAGGCCAAAAATAAGTGTTCAAAAAAGTGTTCAAAAGTGACTCCTTGCCTCAATTTACAACATTAAGCTTAAAGTAAAGATTTGTAACATGAGCTGGTCTGATCTTCCAGGAAATGTCAGTTTCATGTCATGCATCTTTGCATGGTTGTGTCATGTTTGTAAACAAAGAAAAGGTAGTTTGAAACAAGCGTGTGGTTAACCCTCTGGGGTCCGAGGGTGTTTTGGGGCCTGGAAAAGTTTTGACATGCCCTGACATTTGTGCTTTTTTCAGTTGCTTACAAACATTTGAATGTCTAAAGTTTAATAACACTGTAATCAGCACAAACTGGGCTACAATATGTGAGCAGCATGTATGTACGTGATTGTGTTTTTGAGAAAATAACGTTTATGCGTGCTTAGTGAAAAACTACAATTTTAAAGTCACTGAAATAAGGCCATAAAACACATACAGAACATTTGTTCACAAGACTTTTGAGAACTGATCTTGAAGTCTAGAGTTTTTGCTTCAAAATTATGTGAAAATCATCTTACTCATTCACAGAAAACAATATATTGATTTAAATTTTCTAAGACACTTTTTGTGTAAATGAATCTTCATAAGGTTTCACTTGATTGTACATTTAGTGAGGAATCATGGTTTGGAAAAAATAACTAGTAAAATATGTACAAGTTATGTCATAGTAACACAACAGCAACTAATGCAAGTAGGCAAATAAAAAAAGACTTACTATATCC